TTCCCAGAACCCTTAAATAGCCCTATTTTCTCCATTTCCGCATTCATTCTCCATTCTACAACGCGCACGTCACGTATCGTCGAAAATCTCTGTTAAATAAAGTTCTGTTTCACGCAACGACGATCCCTAAGTGTTTTAACTCAGTGATACCCAAATATCTGCTCCTAGTTTCGAGGAATTGGAGCACACCGGGCATCACAGAATGATTTCTGTGTCGATGGATTAGAGTGGAAATGTAGGGTGTACAGAGTGTTTCTCAATATTTGTGAGAAACTTTGGCAGTGGATAGGGGATACGAAAATAATGAAGAGATTTCGTGTAAATAGGTACTTTATTTGACCTTCTTCTCGAATTATAGCCATTTCTCTTAGATGTTGAGAAACACCCTGTGTATGATAAATATAGCGTAATGAAGTGTGATTCGCTTTAGCAGTGAGCAGAGGACACAAAAATAGTGAAAAAATTTCATATAAATAGGTACACTATTTGGCCTCGTTTCCCAGTTATGGCCATTTTTCCTAAATGTTGAGAAACATCCTGTACATGAGTACTAAAGCATAATGGAGTGTGACCCACTTCAGTAGTGAGCAGAGGACAAAAATAATAAAAAAATTTCATATAAATAGGCACCCTCTTTGATCTTGTTTTCCAATTATGGCCATTTTTCCTAAATGTTCAGAAACATCTCGTTTTTGAGTAATATAGTATAATGAAGTGTGGTCCACTTCAGCAGTGGACAAGGGACCTAAAAATAGTGAAAAAATTTCATATGAATAGGTACCCTATTTGACCTCGTTTCCCAATTATGACCATTTTTCTTAGATGTGGAGAAACGCCCTGTAAATGAGTAATAAAATACAATGGAGTATATAGGTAATATAAGTTGCAAGGTATACATTGCAGATAAGAGTGTGTTCGTCTTGATGTAAAAATTATCAGGTGTAATGAAATATGGAATAAGTAGGTCTGTGGTAATGAATTGCCACGTGGTTCTATAGACGTCGAATTAACGAGTCTCTGGTGAATTTCCTTTCCTTGAGATTTGTAGCATGCCTTTGATTCGTTATTCTCTTTGGTAGTTTTTGCCACTGTCAAAGGTAACGAAGATCTTTGTTCAAGGATTAAGGAGCTAACCATTGTAATCCCCAACTGAGTCTCTTCGATCTGTACCTTTGTATCAATACGTAATGAAGTAATAAAGGATACTGTAATATTACATTATTTTTAACTTCATACAACGTGAAATTTCGACTGTATTATTGACACGTATTCCACAGTTTTCCTGAATTTCCTATATTATTAACTCGAATATTACATAATACGGCGGAATTAATTAATTTGCGGGTATATTGATATTACACGGCTAACCACATTTGATCCTCCCTCGCCACATATATTAATTGTATATCACGTTATACATATCGTAGACTAATCCATGTACAGACACAAGTGATAAGTATACAAAATGTATTTAATTCGAAAATTCAATCTCCGTGAAAATTCGCGTGAATTTAGCGAAGAAATAAGATCCTGCGATACTATTCGTGCGTTCCTCAGATCCGAGTATTCCAGAGAAGTGTACAAATGCAAGAGCTAGGGGGAAATCAAAGGGAGCGAGCGTTTAGACGAGTCTCCTCGAGTCCTCCCGTTAATTACGCGTGTCTGCGATTACGGAAAGGCACGGAAAAGTGAGAGGAATGCGACCTGTTATAAGAGGGCCGACGAGAAACCGCGAGGAGGAAGCTCGAGGTGGAAGAAGAAGAGGATGAGCCACCTCGGAGTAACGAGCGAACTCCTGCGGAACTACCGCCTCATATAATCAATTAGAACTCTTGAACGAGTGAGATGGTAATGGAGTTGAGCTAAGTACAAACTGGAGCAAACTGGCGTCGACTCGAACGAACGTATCAACCACCGCATCCTCCTTCAGCCTGTCCACTTCTCCGAAGAACCTTGCGATCTTCGACAACTTGAAGATTCATCCGGTATCGTGCTATGTCAAGTTGCATTTCAACGCTATTTTTGCGCGCGCTGATTTTCCTCGAAATAACGATACTAACGAAAATAAATGAAACTTTTTCCTCGACTTCGTCGTCTCAGCTTTAATTTTCTGACTGCAAATTCCGAGACGAATAATCATGGTTTAGTGTTTTTTCTCCCCAAAATTGCCCATTATCCCTGACTATAAATTCGTGCGACATTGCAGACGCGTGAAAGAATCTATCACAAAGTGGCCAGGGTAATCTCTGTTATCTTAAGTGGACCCTTCGTTTATGGTCCTCAACGAGGCTACTTTCGACTCCTTTCTCATCCCCTTGACGTTGACGGAGTATTGTTCCACGACCGAGATTTTCCACAGACTCCCTGCCGCTAAGCGGATAGGGTAGATAAGAGGACGAAGGACAGGGTCCTTGGAAAATGTCAACTTGTTGTTTATCTTATACTGATTCCGCTTTGGTCCATTTACCTACGATGAATCTCGCGTCCCCCAATTGCTGTTATAACTCGTAAATGGTGATACGTCGCTTGCGTAGTATCGCATTGCCTTAGGAACCTCGAGATGAGGGAGATTGCTAATAATAACACAAACAGAACAAATTGGTTAGTTGTTGATACATGCGTACAAAAGATTAATTGAAATTTTCGCTTCTGAATGTCGCGTTGCTACAAAATCTTATCGTAAGATTATCCCTAACATTGCAGACTCAATGAGATCGATAGTTACGAATCGTATGCTGTAAAATAAAATTTATCAAAATTCTTTTATTTATGAAAAATTCAACACCGAGCATGTGCTAAAAATTGGAAAATCTGAATGTTGCGTTATTACAAAATCTTTTTGTAAAATTATCCCTAACGTTATAAACTCAATAGGATCTCCACGAAATAAAGTTTATGAGATTTGTTATATTCGTGAAAAATTAAACACCAAGAATGTGAATAATTTCAGCTTCAGAGTGGCTCACATTTCACAAGCACAGCAAACTCTTCGTGCTGCGTGCATTTTTAAAATAACATCTATAATTTCCACGGTAGTTGCCGTACATTTCTACAAAGTAATCCCATCGAATGTAATTACAGTTTCATTAGAGCATTCACCCCTTGGAAGGAAAGATCGATATCGCCGTTGTCTTCTTTCCATTTCCTTTTATCATCGAGGCGGGTGATTTATCGCTTTTTGATGTGCCGGCCAGCGTTGAAAGTCATATTCATCAATGTCCATCACGGCTGTAATTACAGTCGGACTTTAATAATAATAACATCTGCACAACTGTATCTGTTTCGACTTCCGTGCGTCCTTGAGCCATCTATAAAACGCGTGAAATTAGCGGATCAGCGTATGTAGCGGTGCTTCATTAACGGTGACGTAATTTATCGCCGTGCGGGACAGTTAATAATGATGAGAATTTAATGGCATCGGGGAAACTTCGAAATTTCCCAGACAAACGTTAATCATTTTTCGAACGCGGAGAATATGCATAGCCGAGTCGCGCGGCCGTTGTTAATCACGGTGTCGCGCGTCGATGAGAAATTAATGTAGCTAAATGGAAAGATGCGACATTGCGGCGCTGTTCGTCCGCCGAAATTAAACGAAATAAAGCGCTCCTGCGCAGTACGCAGACAGAAGCCGATTCTCTGCGCGAAATTAATTCGAAAAAGAGCGGTGAACTTACGTTCAAAACCTCTCCTCTTTTCCTTTTCTCCAAACACCCCAAACTCATTCGTTCACGTCACCCGCCGATCTTTCTCACCGCCGACAATTCGCGACACTCGTGACAAGTAAGTTAACAACCGGATGTCGATAACAAATGGAACAGCGTGACCGCAGACGTAAGCATGTTAGCGCGACGCGGTAGCAAAGTCGATTACAACTATTGATTAACCAGCTCAAAACTGAAAATCACCAGTCGAAAACAGCGTGAAAATACAAGTTTCCCGTAGCGTTACAAATTAACACGGAACAATTGTTTGGACTCTGCGAACCTGTGTATACTCCTAGAAACCGCGTGGAAG